TATTGCTTTATTCATGTGTTTCTGTTGCAAGGCACTGTGGTATGAACTAGAAAATGTGGAATGAGTTGTGAAAAAACCTTGGAATGACACATGAATGATGATATGAAGTCATTCTGAGGCAGGATGATTTACTCAATTGTTTTTACCCAGGGTATCAAACATCGGGAATGAGTTCAAGTTAAAATTCACAGGAGAATGGAAACATCTTAAGGTCAGTCTCTTCACATGCCCATCCTGATACTTTGAATAATCTGGAAAATTGCTGTAAAGAGAAAGAACAAATATTAAAACATGCTTTGAATAAATTGGTCTGGCAAGGGGCAAATATTTATTAACACATTGCATACCGCTCAGGAGTTTTCTCGTGTATTGCGCACCATCTGTTAAGGACCACTCACGAGTTCTCGTTTTTTTCATGCGCCAGCTGTTATGGACCTTAGATGTCAACACACTGTCTTGTCCACTGTGGGGCGCAGTTACAGTGTTTTGGCCAGGTTCAAGCCTCGGACTAATGAAAGGACAGGGTCCTCTCACTGCCACGTGTAAGTCCCAGCTGGAGGGCAGGGCCCTCCCAAGCACAATCATAGCCAACAGCTGGGTTGTAAGCTTGAACCTATGGTCCGAACACATAGCCCCTAAAGTACTAGAAACTTTATTTGTTTTTGTAAATAAAAATGTTATAATTATTGAAAAACAACACCTAAAGTGCATTATGATCTGTCGTTATGATGATTCAAATAACATGCAGTTTGCCCAAAAACATGCGGTCCCTGGCGTATGTCAGAGATTTCTATGCAGTACGAATGTTAAGGTAGGGTACCCTTAAGTAACTTGCAAATGCTATGTAACTTCATTGTAATAAGAAATGAAGACAGGCCTACCATAAAAAAACAAATGTCCATTAAGTTATTTTTTAAAATCTCAGCTTCTGAGTTTTCTATTTAAATGTCCCAGAGAGTTTGACAACAACATTTCAGAAAGAACTTAAAGTACCAAAGCAAACAGGTTTTTCAAGCACAGAATTATTTTGGTTTATCACTAGATATTACATGTCCTCTGAAGGCCTGGCCTGTAACATGCATGTTTCCTCATTCTCACAAGGCTGAAATTCAATCATCTTTAGGTTATATAAATTGCTTGGCTCTTGGCCATTTATCAGGAAAGCTTCCAACTGGTAAGTTTAGAAGACAGGCAAAGTGAAATGTTTAAAAGAAACCCCAATAAAGTTAGAATGTCAGAACTTGAAATGCAGAAACATGTACTTCAATATCAACAGCTTATATAAGATAATAAATGATATTCTGTAATGCATTTGCAGAGGCAAGAATTTATAGCTAACAGCAGGCTGCCCTGATAACCAATTTTTCTACCATATGTCAAATGTTTCTTTTATTAATCTAAAACCATTTGTCACATATTAAATTGCCACGTTTCTTCTATAGTGAATCAGTTCTTCGCACTAGCTTTACCCTAAAATACACCTAGCTTTTGACATAAAGATGTTAGATTCTGGGACATGTTAAATTAAGTTAGAACATCCATATGTACATAATGTTCAAGCTTCTTTTTTTGCAAAGGAATTGATAATGGAATAGCAAACCATCCTATTTCCTTCTCTGAGATGTTTTCATTTTTTGTTCTGCTCTACATTTCTTCCAGCTTGGTCATTACTAAGAACCCGACGACCTCCTTTTCTAGTATCCTGTGGGCACAAGTCAAGCTGGGAGAAGTTTCTGGAGCATCACCCTCTGTGTATATGTGGGAGAAGTAAATTTGTTCGGATGAAAGAGAATTATGTGGAGCGCGCGGCAGGTGGGTAGAGAACTACGCGGTTCAGACTCACCACTGAGAGGTCACCACGTCATCCTAAGCCCGTCATCCCACTTCCCACCCGACGTGGCCCCCAGAGCACTTACCAGAACCACAAACAACAAAAATGAAGAGAGCCAATAACCAAGGTCCTACAGACGCCTTCTCTTCGGGAGCATTTCTCTGCAAAAAGGAAAACCCACCGTTTCAAAGGCAAAAATCCACTGCGACCCAGGACTCCCACAGCGGAGTCTCTCCTCCGTTCCCGAGCCGCCCAGCTCCGGCACCTCCTTCCCCGAACCCCCAACTTAGTGTCCAGCTCACGGCCTCGGGCCCCCACAGCCGGCCGGGTCTGGGGAGGACTCAACGCGACCCTAGACTCGGGCCTCAGCTCCGGCTGCAGCACAGAGGCGCGTCCGCTCTTTCCTTACCGAGGTCTTGGCTACGTTGCCGCGCTGGGTGATATTCTTGCTGTGCTTCTCGTTAGCCATACGGATCCGCTGTTTGGCGACCATCTTCGCGGCGCCACCACTAACCCAAACCACCCCTTGGCCTCGCTCGCTCCCCCTCGGACCGCTGCTACGCCCCGCTCCCGGTGCCGCGCCGCGGGAACCGGGAGGTTCTCAGGCGGGCGCTAGATTGGGCCTGAGAGCTGCAAACGCGGTGCTGAGCGCAGGCGGGCGTGGGCCGCCGGCTGCCTGGGAACCTGGGCGCGCCGGCGAGCGGGGCTGGAGAGCGGGAGGAGAGCAGGCCCGGAAGAGGCTCGCAACGCCGCCGCCGCCGGGAGCGTGGAGTGAAAGAGGAAGAAACGAAACAAGTGGACCTCGTAACCCGTCAGCTCGAACTACTTCGGTTCGGCTGCCAACGTCAGCACTGGGAGAACTCCGCCCCGCGGAAGTGCGGGCCCCACCGGCAGAAGGGAGAGAGGGAGGGTGAAGACCGGCGCAGGGGCCCTAGCCCAGCCCTCCCAAGTTCTGTAAAAATGTGTTCCCCCCGCCCACACACCCCCCCCCAGAGCTGCGCGTGCGCCTTGAGGCTCCTTCGCTGCTACACTCTCCAAACGGAAGTGAATTGGCCCCGAGGCTGGTGACCCCGGAAATACTAAATTGTCGTGCCCACGCCGGAGTGGACGTGTAGAGGCCGGGTTTGGCCCTCGTAAACTCTGACCCGAGTGCATAGTTTTCTCTTTCCGGGACGCGATGGCGCCGTCCACGCCGCTTCTAACAGGTGAGTTCTGAACCAGCAAGGGTCTGTTTCTTCAGAGCAGTTTCTTTTTTGTGTCTTTGTCCTTGGGCTTGGAGTCCGATACGGCCTTTTTCTCGTAGGTTGCGAAAGAGCCGGAGGGACCTTTGGGTTTTTTCGTGTTGCGTGGCAATCGGAAGTGAAGTCCCCGCCTCTGCGCTTCTGCGTTTCCTTTCCCTTTTGCT